TCATCAGTTATTTCTTTTATGGATTGTGCTTTTGGAACACCAGAAAAGTTTTTATATCTAAAAACTTCCTAACCAAAGATCATGAAGATTTTCTGTTCTGTTTTCTTGTAAGAACTTTATAGTTTTACATTTTTTATTCAGTTGTATGATTCATTTTGTATGATTGCAATTTTTGTATATGGTGCACAGTATGAAATGAAGTAAATTTTTTTTTTTGTATGTGGATATCCATAATAAGTACTACTTATTGAAAAAATTGTCCTTTATCCTAAGTTCCCTTTGCAACCTGTCCTAAACTAATTGATTCCATTTCTGAACTCTGTTTCCTTGGTCTGTGTATCTGTCATTTTGTCAATACCACATTGTTTTGATTACTGTAGGGTTTTTTTTTATGTTTTAAAATAATTGTGTGATTCATCTTTTTCCTCCCAAGTTGTTTTGCTTATGGGTTCCTTTGCCTTTCCATATAAATTTTACGATTAGCTTGTTTATATCTACAAAAAATTCTGCTGGGATTTTTTTTTTTTTTATTGGAATTGAATTAAATCTGTAAGTCAGTTTGGGAGAAAATTGGCATATTAACTATCTTGAGTTTTTAAATAGATGAACATGAAATGTCACTTCATTTATTTATGTCTTTAACATTTTTTCTTTCATGATTGTTGTATAGTTTTCAGCTTAGTGATTCTCCACAAATTTTGTTAGGTTTATACCTGTATTTCTGTTGTTGTTCTTGTTAGAGTTATTGAAAAATGATACTTTAAAAAATTTGTTTTCTAATTGTTCATTACTGGTGTATAGAACTACACCAGATCTTGCTAAACTCATAAGATGTAGGAGCCTTTCTGTAGATTCCTTGGGATTTTCTACATAGACAATCATAACCTCTGAGAATATTGCTTCCATTATAGTGTGAATGACTTTTATTTATTTTTCTTTCCTTATCACACTGGCAATGACTTTCAGTAAAATATTGAATTATGAGTAATGGGAATGGACATGCTTGTTTAATTCCCAGTCTCCGTGGGGAAGCATCAAGTGTTTCCCCTGTAAGTATGATGTTAGCTGCAATTTTTCTTTAATACTCTTTTACAGATTGAGGAAGTTCCCTTCTGTTCCTTGTTCAGTGGGTTTTTTATCATGAATGGATGTTGAATTTTGTCAAATGCTTTTTCATTATCTATTGATATGATCATGTGGTTTTTCTTATTTAATCTGCTGAATTACATTGATTGATACTCAAATATTGAACCAGTCTTGATTTCTGAGATAAACTCTACTTGATTGTAATCTTTCTATTTATACGTTTTATGTATTGTTGGATTCAAATTGCATATATTTGTTGAGGATTTTTGCATCTCTATCCCTAAGGTATGTTTATACTTTTTTTTTCTTGTATCATTAACTGTCTTGGATCTTTTTCATGCCTATAAATGCTTGTGTGTGTGTGTAAATATATATACATCTGATATGTCCTGTGGCCTCTTCTAGATATTTTCATTCTTTTTTGTTTATTTTTTAAATCTTAGATTTGTGTGGAGTTTACTTTCAGGTATGACACTACCACAAACATGCATTCATTGTATTAGTTTTGGTTAGCTCAACATTCAGCAGAATTTTGTTACATAACTTTCTGTTTTTAGATTGCATTTCAATGCATCAGGTGTTCTGTCCAATTTTTTCTCCTTAAAAAGATCTCTCCTGGAGTCTTCTAAACAACTCCAATATGGTTAGGCTGCCCTCTGTGCCTGGTTATAGCTATCACCTGGAATCATCGTGGGATTCCCTTCCTCTCTTTCCTTTGTTCAGTGTCCTCTATTTTCTTGGTTTATTTCCCCAGGGTGAGTGTTGGGGGTTATATAGATTAGTAGTGGAATGATAAGTGATTTTGGAAAGATAATAAAAGGCCAGATCATGAAAAGCTTTGTATGTTGTGATAAGGGTCATCTCAAGGATTGCAGCAACTATTGAGAATATTTTATAGGTGAATAACATGATCATATTTGCTGTTGGAGAAGATCACTGTGGCTATCACTTGTGAAATAGATGGAAGAAAGCAAAGTTATAGTAATTCAGGAAAAATATAATGGTGCATTGAAATATAAGGCAACATTAGTGGGGGTATCACTCTCACAGTGATTGGGGATCAACTGGACATGGGAGGAAGGAGGTGTCAAGGAAGATGCCCAGGTTTTTAAGTTTGGTCTTGAATTGATGATCCTCAGAGGGCGAGTATCATGTTTAGGGTAGATTCTGAGTTTAGTGTTGGATGTGCAGTTCAAAGGATTGCAATATACCCTTTACCCATATTTAGCAAATGTTAACATTTTACCATGTTTGATTTATAGTTTCTTTCTTTTACCATGTGTGTGAGCATGTGTGTGGCCAATACGAGAAGAGGTTGGAGACCTGATGCTCCTTTACTTTTTTTTTGGTTTGTTTTTATTTTTGTTTTGTTTTGGTTTTTGATGCTCCTTTACTTTTAATTACTTCATTGAATATTCCCTAAAAACAAGCCATGGATTTAAAAAGAAGTTAACAGTTATTTAACGTTATTAACTCATCTACAGACCTTATTCAGATTTTGCATTTGTCCCAGTAATGTTCTTTTATGTAAAACAAAGTTGCCAGATCTTGAATTGCATCAGTTATCATGACTTTTTAGTCTCCTGTAATCAGAACAGTTTTTCAGTCTAAGGCTAGTGGATCTTTGAGTGGTTTTGGAATTATGTGTTTGTATGTGTGGCAGGTGGTCTTAGTGTGGGAAACAGATTTGTAATTGTGGTACTTGGGCCCAGGGTATAAATTAGAATGGGAATTGACTGTGGAGAATTGAGCTTTCTACTGTCTACCTGCTGGAAAGGTGGAAACAGATCTATTACTCAAAGATACCTTAGTGTTGATTCGTTTTTTAACCCTAGGTGATGAATTAGCTTGATTTATTTGTTCAGGACCTGGTGAGACTCATGCATAGGTATAGATACATAGGTATATCTCCATCCTTAAATAAAAGCAGATGTCTGACTATGTAAATTCTTCCTGCTTGGCAACATAGCCCCCAGTGTAAAAGGACCGTGGCATGGCCAAAAAATCGAACTGCTTACATTTGCCTTGGACATAACAGTGTCACTGTTAGGTGTTTGCTTCTCTTCAGGACTGTTGGGAAGTTCCACTTTTGCTCTGTGTAGCCATCTTGCTAACAATACAATTCTGTATTCCTGCCTGCTTACATTCATTAACTCTGTGTGCCTATATGTATGTGTCTGCATTTCCTTTTTGCATATCAATAGGTACCTGAAACGATGTACAATCTGTCAGAAGGGAAAATAATACAAATATTAGTCAGTATGTATTCCTCTCTGTTGTATTATGCCTTTAGTTACAGAATGTTATAGGAATATAGGTTCTTCTTTTGGGTATTTATATATCTGTAGGACCTTAGATATGAGACTAGAGATGTGTTTTCTCTAGACGCAGGTTTGTACTGATGTTCACGTGTACATGCAGTTGTGATTCCAGTTTTTCTAGTTATTTATTGCCACACTTCCTGTTGGGTGGTTGAGTTGTTAAGAGGAAGGCTTTGTTGTCCCACTGGCCTTGATTTCAGTCCAACTTTTTGAATTGGTTAACTTTTCAAGATTCATTTTCCTCTTTAAAATAGGGATAACGGGGCACCTGGGTGGCTCAGTCGTTAAGTGTCTGCCTTCAGCTCAGGTCATGGTCCCAGGGTCCTGGGATCGAGCCCCACATTGGGCTCCCTGCTCAGCAGGAAGCCTGCTTCTCCCTCTTCCACTCCCCCTACTTGTGTTCCTCTCTTGCTGTTTCTCTCTCTGTCAAATAAATAAATAAAATCTTTTTAAAAAAATAAGTAAAATAGGGATAAATTGGGACGCCTGAAACTATGGAAAGAGCCAAGATGTCCATCAACAGATGAATGGATAAAGAAGTTGTGGTATCTATATACAATGGAATATTATGCAGCCATCCAAAAACCAAAATCTTGCCATTTGCAACGACATGGATGAAACTAGAGGGTATTATGCTAAGCGAAATAAGTCAATCAGAGAAAGACATGTATCATATGATCTCACTGATATGAGGAATTCTTAATCTCAGGAAACAAACTGAGGGTTGCTGGAGTGGTGGGGGGTGGGAGGGATGGGGTGGCTGGGTGATAGATATTGGGGAGGGTATGTGCCATGGTGAGCGCTGTGAATTGTGTAAGACTGATGAATCACAGACCTGTACCTCTGAAACAAATAATACATTATATGTTAAAAAAGAAAAAAAAGAAGATGATAGCAGGAGGGGAAGAATGAAGGGTGGGAAATCGGAGGGGGAGAGGAACCATGAGAGACTATGGACTCTGAGAAACAAACTGAGGGTTCTAGAGAGGAGGGGAGTGGGGGGATGGGTTAGCCTGGTGATGGGTATTAAGGAGAGCACGTTCTGCATGGAGCACTGGGTGTTATACACAAACAATGAATCATGGAACACTACATCAAAAACTAATGATGTAATGTATGGTGATTAACATAACATAATAAAATAAAATTAAAAAAACAAAACATTGGGGCGCCTGGGTGGCTCAGTTGGTTAAGCATCTGCCTTCGGCTGAGGTCATGATCCTGGGGTCCTGGGATCAAGCCCCGCAAGGAGCCCCTCATCGGGCTCCCAGCTCAGCAGGGAGTCTGCTTCTCTCTCTTCCTCTGCCCCTTCCCCCCCACCCCCCGACTCATGCTCTCTTTCTCAAATAGATGAATAAAATCTTTAAAAAAAAATAGGGATCATAGTGTCATGTTATTATGGCTAGTTTTCAGGTTTAAATGAGATAATACATACTAAAATTTTATTATAGAGTCCAGCGCAAATTAAGAATGCAAAACCAGTAGCTGATATTTTATTTTTTGCTGTTTAGTTATTGTACACTACTGACCCTGATAGCTGACTGCTCTATTCATTGCATGTTTTCTCAAAAAATATTTTATTGTCTTCCATAGGATTTTGTCTCTACAATTATCCGTTTACTTGACAGCCCCTCGACTTCCATTAGAGCAAAAGCCTTCCTCGTTCTTTTATATATTTTAATTCATAACCATGAGATGCTGCTGCTCAGCTGCCAATCAAGGTATGATTTTCTCTGATATGGTTTCATCAATAACATCGATTTGGAACCTCTTTTATTGTTAGTATTTCTTGGCCTCTGTGTGCCTAATGCTGAAATTTTTTTTCCTGGACTTTTCTATGGGTTTAATTTTTCACATACAGCCACAGCTGGGAAATACAGAGGACTGAGAGAAGACATCTGGAGCTGAGGCAGGGTGGTGGGAAAGAGCTAGAGTTCCTAGATGTGAGGACAATCCAAGTCAGGGTGTTAAAGTTGGTTCTGGTTTGCATCTTTGGGAGGCATTCTTGACTCGTGGTTTGGTCATAATTTTCACTTTTGTAAGATTCTGGAATGAGCAGCTGGAAGCCCAGCGGAATAATCTAGTGAAGTGTAGAGGAAGAGGCAGAGCAGGGACAAGTTTCTGGAATGGACCTAGGCTGGGCAGATCTCTCTCTCCCTGGGTTGCACCTACTTCCTCTAAAAGGAGAAGCTGTTCTGACACACCTCAGATTCCCTTCATGCTCTGATGCTTCCTGATGAGCATCTGGACTGTCTGGTCCACGCAAAATTACAACCCAGAGGAACCTTGAATATATGATTGAATGTCTGTTTTTTGATTTAGCTTGTTACTCACTGTAGAATACTGAGGAGACCCTAGAATTGCTGAGATTGATCTAGATTAGAGATTGGAAAACTTTTTTCTGTAAATAGAGAGTAAATATTTTAGGATTTATGGGTTAAGAGGCAAAATTGTGGCTATTTGTATTTATGTAATGAGAAAAACCAAACTTCCACAAAGTTTTTATTGATTAATGTACTTCTATAACAGGAGAGAGAACAAATATCCACAGATTTTTAAATTTACATAGTAAAAATATACTAATAAATGAGTACAATTTTTTTTTTTTTTTTTTTTTTGTAATGCAGGTCTACAGATGAGAAGAACAGAATTCTTTTTCTGAGGGAGAGATAACATTTTGCTTAATTAGGGATCAAAGTCAGTGTCTTCCTCATCAAATCAGTTGTAAATGTCTATGTTAGTGCTCATTGCTAGCTTAATTTTGTGTATCTTGTCTTTGAAATGTCTTTTCTTATAGATAGGTACTGTCACATACCAATATTAGTTCATAAGTATGTGATTTTAATTGAGCATATTCATTGCTTGGAAGGCATTTGTAGGATTCTTTTAGATTCTTCCTTGACATCTGCCTTTTAGCATGTCCTTATGTTGCAGGTTAATCAGAACTAAGTGAAGGGTCTGTAGAAGTTCCTACAGAGCCTCCCTTCTTTTCATGTCTCAGGGATCGTCGTCCAGCTTTGTTTTACATCCAGTGTCTTGAAAACTGATGTTTTACATATTTTGTTTATCTTGTAGTTGTGTTTTTAAAAAACTTTTTATTTAAATTCAATTTAGTGAACATATACTGTATTATTAGTTTCAGGGGTAGAATTTAGTGTTTTATCAGTTGCATATAACACCCAGTCCTCTTTATGTCATGTGCCCTCCTTAATACCCATCACCCAATTACCCCATCCCCACACCCACCTCCCCTCCAGCAACCCTCAGTTTGTTCCCTATAGTTAAGAGTCTCTGATGGTTTGCCTCTCTCTCTGTTTTCATCTTATTTTATTTTTCCTTCCTTTCCCCTGTGTTCATATGTTTTGTTTCTTAAATTCCGAGTATGAGTGAGATCATATGGTATTTGCCTTTCTCTGATTTTGCTTAGCGTAATACCCTCTAGTTCCATCCACGTTGTCGCAAATGGCAAGATTTCATTCTTTTTGATGGCTGCATAATATTCCATTGTATATATATGTATATATATGTATGTATATATATATACCACATCTTCTTTATCTATTCATCTGTCAATGGAGCTCTAGGCTCTTTCCATATTTTGGCTATTGTGGCCATTGCTGCTATAAACATTGGGGTGCATGTGCCCCTTTGAATCACTATGTTTGTATCCTTTGGATAAATACCTAGTAGTGCAATTGCTGGGTGGTATGGTAGCTCTATTTTCAACTTTTTGAGGAACCTCCATACTGTTTTCCAGAGTGGCTGCACCAGCTTGCATTCCCACCAGCAGTGTAAGAGGGTTCCCCCTTCTCCTCATCCTTGCCAACATCTGCCATTTCCTGACTTGTTGATTTTAGCCATTCTGACCAGTGTGAGGTAGTATCTCATTGTGGTTTTGATTTGTATTTCCCTGATGCTGAGTAATGTTGAATATTTTTTAATGTGTCTATTAGCCATTTGTATGTCCTCTTTGGAGAAATGTCTGTTCATGTCTTTCCCCATTTCTTGATTGGATTATTTGTTCTTTGGGTGTTGAGTTTGATAAGTTCTTTATAGATTTTGGATACTAGCCCTTTATTTGATAAGGCATTTGCAAATGTCTTTTCCCATTCCATACGTGTCTTTTAGTTTTGTCAACTGTTTCCTTTGCTGTGCAAAAGCTTTTTATCCTGATGAAGTCCCACTAGTTCATTTTGCTTTTGTTTCCCTTGCCTTTGGATATTGTCTAGCACAAAGTTGCTGTGGCTACAGTCGAAGAGGTTGCTGCCTATGTTCTCCTCTAGGATTTTGATGGATTCCTGTCTCACATTTATGTCTTTCATCCATCTTGAGCTTATTTTTGTGTATGGTGTAAGAAAGTGGTCCAGTTTCATTCTTCTGTATATAGCTGTCCAATGTTCCCAGCACCATTTGTTGAAGAGATTTTCTTTTTTCCATTGCATATTCTTTCCTGCTTTGTTGAAGATTAGTTGACCATATTGTTGACGGTCCATTTCTGTGTTCTCTATGCTGTTCCATTGATCTGTGTGTCTGTTTTTGTGCCAGTACCATACCGTTCTGATGACTGCATATTTTATAGTTGTTTCAAATGGGTGCATGAGTCCTGTCCCTTAGTCCATTAGAACTGGAAGCCGAAGTTCTTGTCTATTCGTAAAGGCCTCTCACCACTCACTTTGCTGCCTCTATTCTGTGTGTCTACCATATTTTCACCAGGGCAAATAATATAGTTTCTCAACAGATGTTCTTACATCATTTCTTAGACTCATAGTCTGGTCTTCATGTAGCAACTAGAGAAGCTCTTACACAGTGTGAATTGACTTTTGTTTCTTCCCCGCTCAGACTCTTCTAAAAACATCCTGTCATGCTGAAATGATAGCCTTGGCATCCTCTGCCCTACTTCACCTAGTCCCTGCCCACCTGTCAGCCTGTGTCTCTGACTCTTCTTGGCTCTCACTCCATTCCAGCCACATAGTTTTTCTTACTGCTTTTCGAATGCAGTAAGCCTACTAGACTCACCTCGGGGCCCTTCCCGGTGCTGTTCCTTGTGCCCATTTTGCTCTTCCCCCAGAGGTTTTCATGGCTGGCTTCCTCAGGTCATTCAGGTTTCTGGTCAGTGTAAGGGTCTCTTCTTCTGAGAGCCACTCTGCTCATCCTGTCTCAAATCCCCCTCTCAGGCCCAACTGCAGAAACCCTTTAACTGGTGAGAATCAAAGCATTCAGACCATTAGAGCCTAGGTGTGATCTATTTGGTCCTCCCAGGAAATGGCTATGATTTCTGTGTGTCTGAATGAATATTTAGAAATTTGAGCAGTGGTGGGAAGACGGGTCTGAATGCATACCCTGGCCCCAACTTCCACCCTGCCGACTCTCTGGAGCTCCACAGTGAGCAGGATGCGTGTAGAGAAGGAGCCTGGAAGATGAGGCTTAGCCTTGCCGGAGACGTGAGGACAGGCTCCATTCTTCCTGTGCTTTGTGGCAGAGTTGATGCGCTATCCTCTAAACCTGGGTGAACAGCAGATCTTGGGGCTTCCTCAGGGTCCAAAATGCAGGTGCTTTCTATGTGCAGTTGTTGGGGCCAGCATGCGTGTTCCCAGGAGACTGGGAGCAGGACTGAATGGGGGCCAATCTGCCCCCGGTCAGTGAGGCTGCAGGCAGATGACCTCATTTCCTTGCACTTGAAGAGAACAGCCCCCTCTCACCACCTGCCTCTTTGCCACAACCTGTCCTGGTTAGGTGCTGAGTAGATGAAGTCATGAGTAAGCACATTTGTCATAGTCTGTTGAGAGAGACATGGTACTTGAAGGAGGAGGAAAAAGAAGAACAGGCAGCTCTTACTGGGACAGAACGAATGGAATCGACAGAATTTTAATAAACAAGTAATGAGAACTCTGCAGAGACCAGTTTTTTGAAATTCAGCAGAGGAACTAAAAGAGCATGGCCTCTGCTGGGGATGGTGTTAGGACTTTGAAAGGTGGTATGAAAGAATACCGTGAACCACACCGAGCTCCTGACAGAGACCTGGACAGTTCATGTGAAAATAGGAAAGATGGAGTGAACTTCCAGGAGACCTCACATGCTCTGAATGCCAGGGGGAAGAAAGGAACCTATGGAGGGTTTCTAACTGAAGACATGTTAGCAGTCGTCTTCTGCTCAAACATATTCTCTTCTGATACTGTACTGAGCTGCAAGTAAAGGAATGAGAACGTTACAAAACTACAAAGGCAAAGGGAAATATGGCTAAAACTGATGAGCATTGTCACCTCGTCTTTTGGTTTTGGAAGCTGGAAAGCTGAGAGATGAATGCTTGCTCATTTAGCAGAATGGAGATTGCCGAGGTCCCTTTTTATCTGCAAGGGGAAAGCCGGGAGGAGATCTGATGCCTGCGTGACAAAACTCTGGAAAGGTTGGGAATTAGGGGTGCCTGCTAGGTTTGATGGTGGTGGTGAGGGGGAGGGGAAATGCAAGGCAGGATTGATGGGGAATCTGCAGGGAGGGTTGATCCCCACCACCTCCTCCAACACAAACATCCAGGAGACTCTGCCTCTTCTGTCTCAGCAAGAGACTTGAAATGCATTCTGGATAGTGTGAACTGGAAATGCTGCCAATTTGGGTATTTTCACATATAGATAAGAGGGAGGTGAGGTAGGTGCCTTGTGAGAAATCTGAGGATTGTCTGCAAGTCTACTTACTCTGAAGGGTGAGGCCTTCCACCCCCTTTCCT